TTACTTGCTAGTTAACGATGCAGTGTGGGGAAACCGTACTCCATTTTTGACCGACGTCCAATTTGCCGGATCATATGCCCTTCGAGTGATTCGCACGTCTCGGATGTTCTACGTACCTAACCAAAATCTTGGTCATTACCAACAGAATGTCCTGAAACCCGTTCTTATGTCAGTTTTTTTCTGAGATTGAAATGAAAATTTTTCAATTGCCTTCTGTTCGCTAACTGTCTGTGACTCGTCAGCCAGGTTACGGCTTCTCAAGTAAATAAGTGATTCAGAAAAGCACTCGAAAAGAGTATTTCTTGATACAGGAACTGTTCCAATCAATCTCGCAGATACACGAGTGGCGGAGGGGCATCTACTCATTTGTCACACGAATCTAATTTCTTTGCTTTGGTATTTGTCAACTGTTGCAGTACAGAACGCATGTCACGTTTCCAGCTTTCACTTTGCGTGTACGATGATGATGGTGGCATTTACCGAGTGTAGTACCTAAACTTCTTTCTGACGGTGAAAGAAACCTTCGCACTTCATTGGACAGCTACTGTTTGTCCAAGCTGTGGAGCCCCCAACCACGTTCCACTTGTCTCGTTGAGTGTATGAGACTAACGGCTAATCCCGAACAGCGAACTGACAATCAACGCACCAGTGAACAGCACAACTGATTGAAACCCAAAGGACTCACTTGACAGGTCGCTATAAGCTCCCACAGGAGTACTTCGGTCACGCTCCCGCGTTAAATCTACGCCCGAATACGTTGTGGGTCAGACTTTTGAGTCGAAGGCTCCGGCCACGGTTCCTAAGGAAAAATCCCTTCGTCAATGTGGGCTACCGCAAAGCATGTCCTATCCTGAAGTCTTAGGCATCCATTTGGAAAAACTTCTTCTATCTGTCTGATTCGTCCTCTAACTCCCAAATCGTACGAGATACCTCCTGTTTATGCCATTCAAGATTTAACTAGTAAGGTCAACCAGTCAAAGACTTTACCGCTGATAAAACCAAAATTTCCGTTTCACTTGGTTACACTCTGTCAGCTCGACCAGTAAGCTGCCTCAGCTCGAACCGTGAACACTCAATCCAGGCGTATACTGTCTCAGAAACATACATACAAGACCCCACTTCAATTGTCACCTTCCGCTCTTCAGATCCAGCCTCGTCCTCACACTTCAGTCTCCGCGTGTCAGGCTTAACTCGTGGTGTTGCTGTTGCGTTAAGTGCCAAGGCTAACCACTCGCTTCTCGACTGGGATTCCAGTCAGTGCCGGACTCTGCGCTGTGTGTATGCTGCACCAGTTCGGTCGTGCATAAATTTGGCCATTACGAAAGTAGGGTAAAATAGACTGTTCAAACACCACTGTTCATCCAGCATTGCACAAATCTGATGAAGCAACCGGATGTGCGATGCAGAGATTAGGCACCGAGTTTTAGGTAGCCTTGGTCGACCTCCAAAGATGACGTTGTCCGGGGCATGTGTTACGCATTTCATCAAATAAATTGCCTCGGCGCGCGATGTTTACCCAGGCAGTTAGCGGGTGAAAAAAAGTCAAAGGTAACTGAAATCAGACCTGATTTCGGAGTATGAAAAACCCTGATCAGGACACTCGGCCATATTGGTCACATTAGGCTCCCTGGATGGGGAGCTTAGGATTATTGTAATCAATAGCTAGAGATACTGAGTGTCGTAAACCATGACGCTTGTGAATCTTCTCAGTTTCTTTGCAAACCTGGTCTTCACGGTATCTTCTTTTCACTCGTACACCGATCTGTAGATTCCCATGTTCCGTTCATTGCTTCATCCAAATAATCAACCATGAGATAGAGAAACCGGGGCACAAAGGTACATGGTTAATAGTTGTATAACCTGACGCTGAAGCTTCAACGACACAGTGTGACATCAGCCCTCATATCCGTTTGTCGTATCCATTGGGTGTAAATGAAAATAACCCTCATGTGTCAATTTTGAAACAAGAAGTGAATCGATTCACCTAAACTATCGGTTAGGGACAATTAGATAGGCGATTTATGGGACAGTTTTCCTCTCCTACTACGTGGTTCGTATGATTGCCATTCATTCATACAGTAACATGGAAATCTCCGCTCTGTGCACGTCTGTCTCACACAGATTCCTTTCTGTCCACGCGTTCTGTCATCTCCTATCTCTAACTCTGTCTGCCCAGCTCGTCTTCGTTTCGAAGTGAAACCGCAAGATGCGAAAGTGGGACGATTTGGTGACGGTGCTCAGTTCAAATGTGCCTCTTCCGACGCACAAGTCACACCGTACTGGCTATTCAACGGTCGGCCCAAAATGAACAACGGTATTGGACGAGGTATGTGTTATTGTTGCTTGTTTGCTTCCTACACACGTCTGTCTTACGTTCGAACGCTAGTCAAAATCAAGTCCAGAAAAACTGTTCTATGTTGCATCTCGGCGGGTAGTGGGTAACGCGAAGGGACGGGGGAGGGGGGGGCGG